CTGTACCTGGGTATTGGTATTTTCAGAAGCATGTTTAGATACCTTTTCAGAATATAAATGTACATAGTACTTTTTGTCTTAAATTGTTATATGTATTCAGTGTTTTATGTTTGTGTGGTATCGCTTAACTTAAAAGGAGAATGCTTGCAAAGGGAGGAGATCAAATGGAAAAACATATTTGTCACTGACTTTATGATATATGATACTGTCTAAAATTATTTTAAAACTATTAAAAATGTGTGCCTCATCGATAAGACTTACAACTGGTTTACATTATGTCTAATTGTATTCAAATCATGTCTGCAAACTGTCAGGGCTTGGGGTCAAAGAAAAAAAGACTTGATGTACTGAATTATTTACACAAAAAAATTAGGGATTTTAATATTGTTTGTCTCCAAGACACTCATTTTACACCTCAAATAGAGAATCATATTGAGTCACAGTGGGGTTTTAAGTGTATTTTTAATTCTTATCTGTCAAATTGTAGAGGCGTGAGTAATATGTTTAATAATAATTTTGAATTGTATATACACGAAGTCAAAAAAGATAGAAGTGGCAATTTTATAGCTGTTGATATTACAATTGAGAAAAGAAGATTAACGCTTGTAACTTTATACGGCCCTAATACTGATGACTCAATGTTTTATGAATATTTAAAAAAGACTCTAGATGAACTTGAAAATACAGAAATCATTATATGTGGAGATTACAATATTGTACTGAACCCAGAAAAAGATACCTATAATTATAGAAATGTAAACAATCCTAAGGCTAGGCAAAAAATACTTGATATAGTTGAAGAATATAATCTATCTGACTGTTTTAGGATACTACATCCAGACTTCCGTAGGTACTCATGGAGGAAAACAAACCAATTAAGCAAGCTAGGCTAGATTTCTTCCTTACAACTGACAATCTTTTAAATATAGTAGATAAAGCAGATATTAAACCAGGATATAGAACAGACCATTCGATCATTACATTAGAAATAAAGACTAACAATTTTGAACAGGGTAAGGGACTATGGAAATTTAACACTAGTTTACTTTATGATAATGAATATGTGAAGAAGGTAAAAGATACAATTGAACGTATAAAGAAACAATATGCAGATAGTACATATGATGGAAATATAGAAGAAATTGACAATAAGGATATTAGATTTTCAATCGACGACCAACTTTTTTTAGAAACTCTACTGATGGAAATTAGAAGCACAAGTATTTCTCATGCAATACAGAAGTCAAAAAAAGACAAAAAGAAAAATAATTAATGGGAAGTATAAATAGGATAGAATCTGAAGACAATTTAGCAAATAAATTTGATATTTTACACCCCAAAAAAAGAGAATTAGAAACCATCAGACAAACAAAAATGAAAGGACATCTAATTAGGTCTAAAGTTAACTGGATAGAAGAGGGGTAAAGGGCGACAAAATACTTCTGCAGTCTGGAGTCTAGAAATTTTACTCACAAAACAATATTATAAAATGGAAAAAGTTAATGAAGAAATAATTACTGAACAAAAGGAAATCATGAAAGAAATAGAAGCATTTTACACAAAACTTTACAGTGAACAGCATGAGGGTATAGAAGATGTTGATCTAGACAACTTACTTAATCAAAAAGAAACACTAGAAGGACTTTAACAGAAGAAGAGCTTGGAAAAGCTTTAAAAAATATGAAAAACTGTTAATCGCCTGGAACAGATGGCTTTCCTGCAGATTTTTTTTTAAAAAAATTGCCAAAACTTAAATATTTTATATTGAGATCACTAAACTAGGGATAAACTAAATGATCTTTTTCCACAAATCAAAGGCTAGGTATTATTACATGTATTCCAAAAGGAGAAAAACCAAGACAATTTTTAAAAAACTGAAGGCCTATTACATTATTAAATATAATTTACAAATTAGCCTCAGCATGCATAGCCAACAGAATGAAAACAATTTTAGACTTTATAATTTCAGATACACAAACAGGTTTATTAAAGGGTAGGTTTATTGGAGAGAGTACTAGATTAATATATGACATAATGAGTTATACAGAAAATAATGAAATTACTGGATTATTGGTTTTACTAGATTTTGAAAAGGCCTTTTTTTTTTGGACCGAGTATCAGACATTGGATCAATACACTATATAAAGACACTTAATCAGCTATTATTCCGTCTTTGCGTATTGCAGAGTTGTCCTCTCTTGGGAGCAGGTATTGATTGTTACGTCACTTGCTTGTGAGAGGAACGTCATCAATTTTTGAGAAAACGACGTAATTTTCTCACACAAGCCAATGACATAACAATCAATACCTGCTCCCAAGAGAAGATAACTCTGCAATACGCAAAGACGGAATACAAAATGGTAGGTTATCAGAATTTTTCACTATATAACGCTGCTGTCGTCAGGGCGACCCTGTCTCACGATATCTTTTTTATACTTGTGGCAGAAATATTCTGAAGGGTATCAAAGTAGGGAAAAAAGAACACAAGCTCTCACAGTTTGCAGATGACACATCTCTTATTGTAAATGGTTCTAGGATATCTTTCAATGAGGCACTCAAAATGTTAGAATTAGTTGCTCAAATATCAGGTCTTAAGGTAAATAGTGACAAAACACAATTGATATGGAAAGGAAGAAAAAAAATCAGTCAAGACGTCTACCACCATAGATGGAAGTTAAAATGGGGGATAACAAAATTTAACCTTCCTGGAATAGATTACTCTGTCAACTTAGATGAAATGATTAACATTAACTATAATAAAGCTATACAAAATTTAGATAAACCATTAATGGTCTAAAAGAATACTTAAACCAATAGGTAGAATAACTGTTTTAAAACCATTAATACTTTCAAAAATGATTCATCTCTTTATGACTACAACGATCCAGACAGAGCTTTTATTAAAACATTGAATTCTACTTTTTTTTAAATTTATATGGCAAGGATCTATTGATAAAGTGAAAAGGAACACTCTAATTAAACAATACAACAAAGGAGGTTTAAAAATGATAGATATAGGGAACTTTATTGATAGTTTAAAATCTACTTGGGTAAGAAGACTTTTGACATCTAGTGATAAGGAATGGAAAGACATTTTTGAACATGGAATATGTCCCATACAGTGCCTTTCAAAATGTGGTGAAGGTTTCTTTGAAAACTTAAATATAACAAATTTATTTTGGAAAGAAGTCCTAAATACATAGATAAAAGTGTCAAAATTAAATTAAATAAGAACCAAAACTGACCTTCTTACCTCCCCTTTATGGTACAATTCTAACTTTAAGATAGGGAATCAATACATTTATTTTGAAGACTGGCATAAGAAAGGTGTAAATACAGTAGTTGACATAATGAAAGGAGATGGAGCATTTCTAAATTTTGAAGAATTCAAAGACAAGTTTTCTGTAATATCGAATAATTTCTTAAGTTACCAGAGTATGTGTGCATCCATTAAATCTGTGTTTAAAAAATGTAAGGTACATCTAAATAACAATACTATTGTAAGACCTTATTTACCTTTTCACCCTCAAATTCTATTTAAAAGTAAAAAAAGGCAGTGGAAATTTCTATAAAGCATAGTCAATACATCAGAAATTAAATGGAAAACAAATCCTATTTTCCAATATTTGAACTGGAATACAATTTATTTACTACCCTTTAAGACTACCAAAGATACAAAACTACAATGGTTTCAGTATAAAATTCAAAATCAAATTCTACCAGTAAATAAATATTTGAAAAAGATTGGCATAACAAATAATGACAAGTGTAACCTATGCAAAGATAATGTAGAAGATTTAGAACATATGTTTTGGGAATGTAATAAAGCTCAGGTTATTTGGACCAAACTAGAAGAATGGATAAAACAAAAAACAAATAAAACAGTAGTTTTTTATTTGAAAATCATATTGTTTGGACATACAGTTAACATTGTCACATCACAACCTCTCAACTTCCTTATATTACTTACAAAATACTTTATTTTTTGTGCATCAAAAAGACAAGACAGAGTTAACTTCAACTTGTTAAAAGAATTTATTGCACAAAGATATACAATCGAAAATGTTCTTCACATAAATACATGTAAACAATTTTTTTTTTCAAATATTGGAAGAGTGGGAAAATGTATTTACATAAAAACAACAACATTAATAAATTACAACCTATCCATATGACATAAAGATGTAACTATTTTAAAATAAGATTTCTTACTTTCTTAGGTAGTAAAGCTTCCCTTACATTTGTATAGCAGATTGTTTATAGGTTATATGACTCTATATATATCCATATATGTTTATGCATGACATACAATTGAAACCATATATAAAGAGTGAAGGAGTTTTACAATAAAAACACATACATATAATACACAATTTATTTTAAACGGATTTACTTGTATACTATGTATACATGTTTATACACATTTCATATCCTGATATTAAAAAATAGCTGACTTATATACAATATATATCTATACAATTTTTATACTTAGTTCAACTGAAGTTCACTTAAATAGCAATGTAGATAGAAATTATTATTAAGTCAGAATATATATATATGGATATTTATATTGCCTTGTAATAGTTTATGTCTTTGTGGTGTGATTTAAATGTATACAGTATGTGACGTTTAGTTATAAGTAATGTTTGGTGTTAAAAAAACCTTCTCCGATACTGAACTCCAGAACTCATCCAAAGCAAGAAATAAAATCAAAGATGTGACTCCTGTGAGAGGATATGTTTACATGATATATGTATACTCATATGATATTTTATATGATGTATCTGCGAAGACAAAAAAAAAATTAAAAAAAATAAATCATGTTGTTAAGCGTTTTAATTATATAGGGCTCTATATAAATGTTGTATATTATTTATTATATTTACTATGATGTGGTAGAAGACATGCGTTTTTTCATGATAAGACATCTTATGGTAGGGACATAAAGGGATTCGAATTCTTTTGTTTGCTTGTTTAATGTAATATATATTTGATAACAGGCATTCGCTGAAAAAAGCATGGGCATCCTTAAATGGGCAATAGTAGCGTGTATCGTGTTGTCCACGTCAGGGGGTATAAACTCCAACTACTTCGCTACAAGTCGGTAAGTACAAAAAGAACATTGACTAATATTTAATGTCCGTTATCTATATTATGTATATTACTTTTTCTGCATATACACAGATTTTTGGGTTTTTTTAAATAAATGCACGGGAATTTTTTAAGCATTTGAATTTACACATAAGTAAGGAAGGATAATTGCTAAATATGCTTCATACTTTTGAATGTTTTTTTTTAGATTCAAAAGCATGTACACAACAACGTCCTGAATAAAAATTCACCAATTAGAGATAAAATTTGAGATTAAAATCAAATAGCTTTAAACATTATGTTTTCAGAATGATTTATGTGGCATCAAGAGAAGACAATTTTCCCAAGTTCCTGTCCATGGTGAATGTAAAACGAAGATCCCTAGTGCCAGCGATGATGACAATTGTAAGCTACCATTTTAAAGGATTAGTTTTCTCACCTACTTATGCTTATGTGATTAGGTGTTTACTTTCACACCCGTATTGCATTGTGTTTAAATTAATACGAATCACCATTTACCACCAGAGCCGACATCGCTGTGCTATCTACAACGCTGTTTTCCATTCGAGTATCAAAGGAATATGCCATTTTTTATATTGCTGCGGTGTGCGTGATGATTATAATACTTGTGGACCGAATAATCATTCTTAACCATTTTTATGCTGTTAATGTTTTCGTATTATTGTTAATGTGGCAGCTATCTATACGTAAACATAATCTCAGCTGTTCTTCTGTTATTTATTTATAAACAGGGATGTCTTTCAGTTGTTATCCTGTTATTTATTTATATACATGGTTGTCTCTTAGTTGTTATCTTGTTATGTATCTATATACAGGCTTATCTCTCGGTCGCTGTCCGGTTATTAATTTATAAAAAGGGTTGTCTCGCAGTTGTTATCCTGTTATTTGTTTATGTACAGATTTACCTCTAGGTTGTTATCATGTTATTTATTTATATACATCGTTGACTCTCGGTCGCTGTCCTGTTATCTATTTATATACAGGGATGTCTCTTAGTTGTTCTCCTGTTATCTATTTATACACAGGGTTGTCTCTCGGTTGTGATCATGCTACATGTATTTGTTTAAATACAGGGTTACCTCTAGGTTGTTGTCCTGTTATTTGATTATAAACAGGGTTGTCTCTCGGTTGTTATCGTGTTATTTATTTATATACAGGATTGTCTCTCGGTTGTGATCAAGCATAATAGCAGAATCACAACCGAGAGACAACCCTGTATCTAAATAATAAACAGGGTTGTTTCTAGGTTGTTATCGTGTTATTTATTTATATACAGGGTTGTCTGTCAGTTGTTTTCCTGTTATTTATGTATATACAAGGTTGTCCCTCGGTTGTTATTTTGTTATTTAATTTTATAAATTGTTATCTCTCAGCTGTTATCCTGGGTTTTTTCATTTATATACAGAGTTATCTCTCAGCTGTTATCTTGTTATTTATTTATATACAGAGTTGTCTCCCAGCTGTTATCTTGTTATTTGTTTATAAACAGGGTTGTCTCTTAGCTGTTATCTTGTTATTTATTTATATACAGAGTTGTCTCGGAGTTGTTATCCTGTTATTTAATTATCTACATGGCTGTCTTTTGGTTGTTATTCTGTTATTTATTCATATTCAGAATTGTCTCTCAGCTGTATCCTTTTTTTATTTATATACATGGTTTACTCGCAGTTGTTATGCTTTCCTTTACGGTGTTGTCAGGCAGTTGTTATGCCCTCCTTTACAGTGTTGTCTCGCAGTTGTTATGCTCTCCTTTACAGTGTTGTCTCGCAGTTGTTATGCTTTCCATGATGAGTCTGCTGTCCACTCTGAAGATTTACATAATCCTCGTGCAAGCTAGCAGATTCATAGCTGTGTGTGGCTTGTTTAAGCTCAGGAGAACTCACACACCTAGCAACGTCATAAAGGTATAACTATCGGGTTATTTCCCGGACATTGGGACATTTTATAAACTTTATTTATAAATATGTGTTAAAATTCATTGTTTTAAACGTAGTAAAATATAGTTTTAAGCTTAGCATAGAAAAATGAAAACTATGAATAATATTTTAAATATCGGCTAGATGGATAACTTGGGTTCAAATTATTGCTAACCTAATTGCCTTTTAATTGAGGAGTAAGGTTATCATTGACATTCAGAAGAAGTAATGTTTTCTACCTTGACAATTATACTTGAAAGCAATGTTTTAATTATAATGTAAAAATCTTGATATCACTGATGTATGCCAGAGCAATATAATGTATACAAGTTTAAAAATAAATATTGTAGATAGTTTATGTTTCATTTCGACTACATGTGAAAAAGTCCTAGGTCTGTATTAATGGAACTGTTCTCCTGCTCAAACGGAGATTCTGTGCTCAAGCCAAATGTCTTTTTCCAGTGATAAATAAATCAAACTTTATATTAAGCCCATGATTTGGAAGAATTTTAGTCAGACTTCAAGCCGGATACCATGTAAAATGTTGACATAAAATATTTTATTGTGTCACATGGCTTAAACTAGTTACAAGAAAATTAGGTTGAGCACAGAATCCATGCTTGAGCATGAAAACGGTTTCATGAATATGGACCCCTCCGTGCGCTATCTGAGTTAAATACGACAGGAGGACAAGACTAATTCGCTTAAAATCTTCTGCCGTTACTTAATGAACGACACGACATTAACCTCCTGTTTTCATTGAAATATTATAACAGCATTAAGACAGCCTAACCCTTGTTACAGTTACCGCTGGTTATACCCATCTTCTACCTCTTTATGATGGCGTCAATGATGGTCGTCACCATAGTATACACCCCAGAAGTGATACCCAAGGTTATCATCTTTGCCTCCACCGGGGTCCTAGCGATACTTCTCACATGGATTGGCAAACACCGCAATAGTTCCCTACGAATGATCTACCATAGAATACACGGTAATTCACTTCATATGTTTCACTTCAAAATGTACTTGCTTACAGCATGTTTATTTATGATAAGGCAAATAAAACATTCTCTCTTTGTCTTTTTTTCTGGATTATGATTCACACTTGTCTACTTTTAGGTTCGTATATCACTCCTGCCTATATTTTGGATTGTGTATTATCCCTGTCTTCTATCTTAATTACGTTTTACACGTGCATCTAAACACAAAATGTTTACCACAAACCGCTTTTTTCATTTAGGTTAACGTTAATCCTCATTAAATAGAAATTCTTTAATGTGAACGAAATGAATCATTTGCAAAAAAGAAAAAGTAAGAAAGTAATCGGTTGATTTCATAAGCAAATTGGAGAAGAGCAAGGTTATCAATTTTCCAATGTAATGATACAGATATTTAAATAGCTTTTGAAATGCATTTTTTAGCAAATTAAGTTTTGATTGTTTATATGATGAATGACGTCATCATATACGCGTTCTGTAAGTATGCCAAGTCAGTTTCGTGTTGCTTTATCTTCATATTTAACTCGTCAACATGAGGAATTTATATTTTTATAACAATTTCAAAAGGAAAAACTTTGAAAGATGTGTTGTAATTTTATTTCGTTTTCAATTTCAGATCCAATTGTGAAGCTATGCCGAGCAGTTCTGTTGTGTGAATTTACTGATAAATAGTAGTTATATAAAGTATGTGAAGCTATGCCGCGCAGTTCTGTTGTGTGAATTTACTGATAAATAGTAGTTATAAATAGTAGGTGAAGTTGTGCCGAACAGTTCTGTTGTGTGAATTTACTGATAAATAGTAGTTATAAATAGTAGGTGAAGCTATGCCGAGCGGTTCTGTTGTGTGAATTTACTGATAAATAGTAGTTATATATAGTAGGTGAAGCTATGCCGAGCGGTTCTGTTGTGTGAATTTACTGATAAATAGTAGTTATAAATAGTAGGTGAAGTTGTGCCGCGCAGTTCTGTTGTGTGAATTTACTGAAAAATAGTAGTTATATAAAGTATGTGCAATATGATACGTATTGAAATTGTGAACATAGTTAATGTGTAATAAGATTAATGTAAATGTCATTAAAATATTTTATGTGTGAGTTGAAGCATATATAAGAAGCTAACATGTTTGTATGTGAGGTATGATAATATGTTGCATTTCGAATTCTACTAAAACATGTATGTTTTTATGTGTTGTATGATACATACAGAATTAGCTTACAATTCTATGTATGTCATAATACTTACAGAATTAGCTTACAATTCTATGTATGTCATAATACATACAAAATTAGCTTACAATTCTATGTATGTCATAATACTTACAGAATTAGCTTACAATTCTATGTATGTCATAATACATCCAGAATTAGCTTACAATTCTATGTATGTTATATTACATACAGAATTAGCTTACAATTCTATGTAATGTTATATTACATACAGAATTACCTTACAGTTCTGTGTAGGTTATGTAACATACAGAATTAGCTTACAATTCTATGTATGTTATGTAAAATACCGAAGAATAAGAGGCAGCTTAGATTTCTATTATAGTATGATGCATACAGAAGTAGCTCATATAAAATAGTGAACATTTGTATGTGTGTTATGATACAGATAAAAACACCTAACATCTGTATGTGTGTTATGATACATATAGAAACACCTACAATTGTGTGTGTGTTATGATACATATAGAAACACCTACATTTGTATGTGTGTTATGATACATATAGAAACACCTAACATTTGTATGTGTGTTATGATACATATAGAAACACCTAACATTTGTATGTGTGTTATGATACATATAGAAACACCTAACATTTGT